CTTCCTCCCGGAGGATTTCCCCAGGCCCACCCCATCCCCAGCCTGGATCAGTCCCCCACGGCCCCCACCTGGTCCCACCTACTGCACACACAGCCCTGACTTACCACTGCCCCCGCCCCCCGCCCGTCTGGTAGTTCCTTGAGATGGGGACAGAGATAGACAGGATCTGGGTTCTGTGCTGTCACGCATGCCCAGGGCTTGGCACAAAACTGGAACTCCACAAAGTTGTGCTGAAAGGATGTTGACCGGAAAGCGCCCAGCACAGTGCCTGGCCGACAGTGGCCTTGCTAAAAATGGTTGGAATCCATGCAATCAATGAGCTCTCTGGGCACGGGGCCGTTTGCCCGTTAAGAGGTGTGGGGGGGGCGGCGCCTACTCTCCCACCCCACCCACCCCCTACACCGGGCCTCCAACCCACCGAAAAGGAGAATCCGGTTCCTAAGCTTCTGAGCGTCTGGCCCACGGGGCTGCTGTGTGTTCCCAGTGACCACCTGCCCACACCCCACCCTGCCAGCCGGCCAGACCCCCAGGCAGAAGCAGCAGCGGCGGAGACCGATCCTTGGAGCAGCCCAGACAGAGGGCTGGCCTCGAAAGTGAGAAATGACGGCGGGGTGCAAAGACAGTGGCCTGTGCCCAGAAGTCACCTGGCCACAGGCACAGACGGACCAGAAGCCCATTATAATAAAGAATATTCTCCTGGTCTTGTCCTTCCCAGCCAGCCACCCTCAACAAGAAGTGAGGGGACATTTGGCTATGTCTGGAAATGTGCTTGTTCGTCAGGATTGCGGGGGTCTGGCAGCTGGTGGGTGGGGGCCAAGGACTGCTAAAGTGGCCCCCAAAGGTTGGTAGTGCCCAGTTTGAGAAAGTTCCAGTCTGACCAGTCACGCTTTGTGGCTTTTAGCTCAGGGGCCCTGAGGTTGTCTCTGACAGCGGAGGGTGTCTGGAAGAGGGGAGCCCCCCACATTCCTTTAGTTTCGCCATCCTGGATCCCCCAAAAAAGCACCAGCCCCAATGCCCACCCCGGGTTCCTTCCCTCCCTCCCCATCCTTTTCCCAGGTAATAGCATTGAGCCAGAGGGACTGCAGACTGTGCCCCTGCTGAAAACCCACAGGGTTTAATACAACCCCCCACCCCCAGGTGGCTTGAAGGCCAGTCCTGCGGGCTGCCAAAGGCACGGGGCTCTTGGGGGCCTCTTGGAGATTATTAAATGAGATAGTAGGTATGAAAGCACACAATCAGGTATGAAATACCATACAAATATTACTTGTCATTTATGTAAGTACTCGCAGCCTGGGGTTTCAGAAGGCAGCAAGCAAGGGGCTGCGCCTTTACTTTCCTTTTCCAGTCAGGGCCTTGGCGCCCCCTTCTGGCCACTGTTGGGTACTACACCCAGGGCAGGTCGCTGTTTCCAGGCCTTCTGGAGCAAGTCCGGAGAGCAGGCAGGGCCTTTAGCTTTTTCATTTATCCCATGGAGGCTTCACAGCAGCTCCACGAGGAAAGACAGAGGTAGTGTAACCCCACACACATCGCGTTAGAAGCAAGTAAGTGAAGGAGGCAAGACTGGAACCAGCCAGGGGCCATTGTGCCCTGATTCCTACAGTGGGCAAGCCCAGGGTGCCAGGCAAACCCACAGAGCAGCTTGGGGTGCCACTCCTCTACCCCTGCCTCCCATTCTCATGCAGACCATGAGCTCCCCCACCAGAGCCCCCACGAGGACCACCGTGGAGTTTGCTCACCATCTTACCCCTTGGTACCACCCTGGGTTCTCTGGATGTGTGTTGGATGGAACACCAAACCCTACCAGCCTTTCACTGCTGACATGCTGACTTCCGCTCCAAGTGGGTCTGGCTTACCAATTTCTTGCAGGTCTGAAAAGACCAGGAGCCCAAGGTGTGCTTCTGGAACGGGAGGATGTCTGGCTCTCCAAGGGTGCAGGTGAGACTGGAATGAGACCACCAGAGAGCTTGACCCTCCCCCTTCCATGCCCCCTCCAACCTCTTCTCCCCACCCCCACCCCCAGACCCTACTTGCCACAATGGTCTATTCCCAGAAACCATGCTATGCTGGACCATGGAAGCCTGGCTCTCGAGTCTGGGGGCCTTCATCTCCTACAGGATCCACTCCGGGCCCCTTTTAGAGTTTACTGTGTTGTGTGGGTATCAGCACCATCTGGGAAGCTTCTGTCAAGTGCAGCATCCGGCCTCCCCTCAGAGATGCAGGCTTCGGCCACACCACCATATCTGGGGCTCATCTGCCCATGAAGCATAGCGGACGTCCCTCTAGGTTCCTTGCTTCACCTTTCAGGGGCTGCCATTTATTTTACTATTTGTGCCCCTTGAGGAGTTGGAGAGAGTTTTTCGTACTTGAGCAAATTTGCCTTCATGTTTTGTTACTACACATCTATGTTCTCTTATTATACAACTCAAGAGGGTGAACATCTGTCTCTCTGGGATCGGTGCCAAAAGGAAGGTGCAGCCCCTCCCCTGTCCCCTGTCCCTGTCCTGTAGGTCCTGTAGTGGGGAGAAGCACCAGGCATTCACTCAACAAATATTCTGTGGACCTACTGTGTGCTTTGTCCTAATTAATTCCTCCATCCCTCCATCCCTTCCTTCTCTCCATCCCTTCATCCATCCATCCATCCATCCACCCGTCATTTAGTGAGTGATCTCAGATGTGGCGTCCAGTTTGAGAACCCTATAATGTCAGCAGGGAGTACCTACGGTAGATAGATAGATAGATAGATAGATAGATAGATAGATAGATAGATAGATAATAGATAGATAGATAGATAGAGATATACTGAATTTCGGGAGTTATCAAAAGAATGTTGAGCCCCGTTCTTGTCTTCAAAGAAAAGCTGGCACAAATGTCTGAAAAGTTTCACACTGTCACACAATTTATCACCGGGAGGTGTGTGCGGGAACTGCTGCACCAGTGAGAGGGGTCAGAGGTGAAGGGTCCTGTGCCAGGGGGAGATGGAAGCTGGGTGGGACCTAGTATCAGAGGGGACAACACGGGCGGGCACCTGCAGCCAGAAAGTGTCAGTCGGTTGGGCTGAAGGGGTGGATGCTTGTGGCTGAGCAGTGGGGACCAAAGACCAGAATCATCAGCCTGGGATGGAGGAGGGCTGGCAACGTCAGGCTGAGGAATTTGGGGATGTTTTTTTCTCAGGTCAGAGCTGAGGCTCCCATGAGTCCCAGACCGGACCCCGACCTTCAGACTCCTACCAATTAACATTTCCTACTGTTAATACCCAGATCCAGCTGTAGTTAGCACACACAGTTTGGCTTCTTTTAAAAGGTTCCCTACACAGTTGGAGCTCTTCGGGATCTCCCTGGGGCAAGGACTGTGGGTTTATCCCTCCCTGAATCCCCAGTACTCCCAGGAAGATACTCAAGCTGGGCTCCTCTAAGGGAAGGAAGGGAGGAATAGAAGGAAGGATGGATGGGGGGAGTGAGTTCAAAGTAAAGTTCACAGTGAAGCACTCTATCTCTTCAGGTGGGCTGTTCTGTAATAATAAACACACGGCAATTACATTCTGTTGTGCAGTTATTAAATCTGGGGGAAACAAATATAATAAAATGTAGACATTTGTAGAGAGGTTGAAAATAGAATAAAAGTGGAAGATAAAAATAAAATCGATAACCTCAGGTTTCCCGGAGCCTGCCTGAAAAGAGGCTGTGTGAGAGTAAATGCCTGCGGAGGAAGCAACGTCAGGCGCGGGATGGAGCTGGGAGGAACCAAAAGGGCAAAGGAATCGCTGCCTCCCCAGGGCTGCCAGCCCGCCTGTGGTGCAGAGTCTCCTAAAGCAGTGGCCAGGAGCCTGCGCTCGGATCTGCCCCGCCCTCGTGGGTTCAAGTCCTGGCTTCCCCTCTTCCCTGCAAGTACACGCCTTCATTCTCCCCCACAAGTAAAACTGGGGTAACAACAAGAACCCCCTCTCCCTGGTGCGCCTAAAGATCAGAGGTCCCAGGGGAAAAGTGCTTAGCACAGGGGATGCCCCATACAACTGCTCCATAAACGTCAGGTATCGTAAGTACTAATTTACCCGTATGTGCACCAGTTCTTAAAGGAATTGGGAGAGGCAAGTGGAAAAGCTCCATTAAGTGGAAAAGAGGGCCTTGCTTGTGACAGATTAGATGTCCGCGGAAAAGGTGACCAGAAGGAAATGTGAGAAACCCCTACAAAGAGGTTCTAAAGTGTACATAGGAGGATCCCTTTATTTATTTATTTATTTATTTATTTATTTATTTATTTATTAAAGATTTTATTTATTTGACACAGAGCGACATAGCGAGAGAGGGAACACAAGCGGGGGGAGTGGGGGAGGGAGAAGCAGGCTTCCCGCGGAGCAGGGAACCCGATGCGGGGCTCAATCCCAGGACCCTGGCATCATGACCTGAGCCGAAGGCAGACGCCCAACGACTGAGCCACCCAGGCGCCCCAGGATCCCTTTATTTAAATAGGAAAATCCCTGCTTAGATGCTCAATGCACACATCTAAAGGAAGTAGTAGCTAATAAGTGTTCGGTCTTTAGTTTTTTGTTTTTTAAGATTTTATATTTTTATTTGACAGAGAGAGACAGCGAGAGAGGGAACACAAGCAGGGGGAGGGGGAGAGGGAAAACCCGGCTCTCCGCTGAGCAAAAGGCCCGATGGGGGACTCGATTCCAGGAGTCTGGGATCGTGACCTGAGCCGAGGGCAGATGCTTAACCACTGAGCCATCCAGGCGCCCTAAGTATTCAGTCTTTAAACTGGGTCTGAGATAAAGCCTAGCAAAGCCAAGGGTTGGGGGTGGAGAAGGAAAAGAGAGTGGAGGGAGGAGGAAGGCTGCCTATTTTATTACTGATCGACACTATTAATCCAGGCCAGGAAGGGGCAGAGGTGCCGCAATGGGAAGGACGAACGCCTACGTTATTCTTGACCCTTTGCAGACACCGTAACCAGTTTCCTTCGGGGGAGGGTTTAACTGCCCGGAAACGGAAGTCTCGCTCTTTTCCCTCCTCCTTTCTTGGCGCCTGCTGTGAGTGTTTCGGGCCCTAAACGGGGCACTGAGGGGTTATCCGGGGTAATCCACGATTGGGTGAGATCTGGGGACCCTGGGTGCGGACCGAGGGTGCGGGAGAGGAGGATGGAGTGCGACGGAGTGGGCATTTCGGGGGGAGGCTGGGGAGGAGAAGCGGGGGTCATCGCCAGTCCCCGCGCCCCGCTGACGCCAACATCGGTCTTCTCCGCAGGTGCCGCCCTCGCGCTCCCCTGCGCCCCCCGTAGCCATGGTGAGTATGACCCCTGCTGGGCACCCCCCCGGGGGGCGGGGGCAGGAGCGCCTTTGCAGGAGTCCCGGGTCCCCACTCCCCGTGAGGGGCTGGTGGCGGTGGTCAAGTCATGGTCAGAGTAAGTGTGTCAGTGCAGCTCATGAACCTGTTCTTTGTGTTGCAGCCTCGCAAAATCGAGGAAATCAAGGACTTTCTGCTCACGGCCAGGCGAAAGGACGCCAAATGTAAGTGGTCGCTCTGAACGTGCAAGAGTGAGAAGAGGGTCGTGCGCGCGTGGAGCGGTCCCCTTCCCTGGCCCTGCCCTGCCCTGGCCCCTACCCTGGATCCTACCCTGATCCCGCCCTAGACCTTCCCCTGATCTCTCCCTAAACCTTCCCGTGGTTCTTACCCTGAATCCTGCCCTGATCCCTCCCTAGACCTTC